TAAGAGTGCTTATTTCCAGGAAAAAAAAAAAAAATTGGTTCAAAAGGCAGTCAGTTGGAAGAAAAGAAGTAAAAAGCCCGGATAATCTATAAACTGTCCAGTTAGTCTCTGAATAAATCAAGACGTAGTTTTGCATTAAGAAATTAGAAGCATCGGGGCTTCCCTGGTGGTGCAGTGGTTAAGAATCCTCCTGCCATTGCAGGGGACACGGGTTCAATCCCTGTCCGGGAAGATCCCACATGCCACGGAGCAACTAAGCCCATGTGCCACAACTACTGAAGCCGCGCACCTAGAGCCCGTGCTCTGCAACAAAAGAAACCACAGCAATGAGAAGCCGCGCACCACAACCAAGAGTAGCCCCAGCTCGCAGCAACTAGAAAAAGCCGGCGCACAGCAACAGAAGACCCAACGCAGCCAATAAATAAATAAATAAAATCTATTAAAAAAAAAAAAAGAAATTAGAAGTGTCGTCTCCAACTTGTGATTTCTGTAAACATTGGATTCGACCCAAGCTAGTTTTATAAACAGATAACGAAAGCCAGAATAAGTGGAGGCCTGAGGAAATGTCACCTATTCTGAATCACTTCCAAATTTCAAGAGAGGAATAAGACGTTGGTTGGGGAAATGGCAACTTTCTAACCTCTGCGCACTGGTAAGGTACTAGCCAGAAAAACTCAGAATTATGCCGGAAGAAAAGCCTATTAACAAAAGAACAAAAGAAAAGAAAGAACATATTTATGCTGCAAAGTTAAAACATCACATGAGCTTTTCTGAAACACTCTAAACTTAAAAAAGCAGGCCTACAAATGTATTCCGAAGCTTTTAAGCATAGGTTAATATGTTCCATGTGCCATTTTGTATTTTGAAAGAATACTGTGAGAAATAAGCTATCATTAAAAGTACTTGTAAAAGTTGTAAATATCTCCACATCTACTCATTTGATTTTTTAAAACACTAATTAATTCAGCCTTATAAGGTTTAAGAGGAAATGTAGTGTTTTGTTTTGTTTTGTTTAAACAACCGAAGTTGCCAGTAACATACCACACTATTTGTGATAAACACTTCAGATTCATGGAAGAAGCCAAATCTAATCATAGGAAAATGAGCGGTTATGGAGAGAGAAGCTGAGGCTTCAGGAGGGAAAAGGCTTTGGCGGGAAACACTTGTCATACCACGCCCCCTACCATCAGACCACCAGAAACACAATTACATGTCTGGGAGCCTTGCTGCTTTTAAAGAACTTCATCAAGAAGTTTTCATAAATCTCTGGTAAATCTGTGACTGCGCATATCAACAGAATGAAGGAGATATAAAATGAAATCACTACATACTAAGCTCAAGAAATCCCAGAAGACCATAATAAAGTTATGATTTGTCTATCTACCTTTCAGTAATGCGGCCTGAAATGTGGCTTACAACCGTTCCAAAAAATAAGACAAATCGGATAACCCAGTTTACCATACAAATAAACCATAAGAGGTCCCAAGACAGATACAGGCCACAGGGGTTAACAGTAGCTAATAATGACTATGTTTTTGAAGGGGACTGGAGGGTGAGGGGCCAATGAGTTACCACACAGACACAACATGAGTTGTCAATCAGCGTTTCAAAACGTTGGCATGTGTCTCCCATCTACAAGATATTCATTCTCACTATTGTGTTTGTGCCTTACTTTCAAACGTATTGCTGCCAGGCCCCAGTAGTGATTATCAAATGCACTTTTACTGTATGATTTTGTTTTCTAAATAAGCAGACAAAAAGACTAGTAGATGGCTAGTGTTGTTTATGATAGTCTCTCCCATACACAGTTTTATCTGACATTCTAGTCTCTAATCCTCTGGCCATATTTTGAAATAAAGCATAAAGTTAAATGATATATTTGCTCTCTATTCCAGACTGGATGCAATTGATTTTAACTGACTAAATTATCTGATCTCTGCCAAGAATTTTATTTCATTAAGAAAATGATATTATAGAGCATCTGAGATCATAGAGCAGACTAAACATAATGCCAAAGGAGTTCTGAGAATGCTCCACAGTGAAGGTTTGATTATTTGCAGATGGAATATGAAAAAAAGGAAAAAGAATCAGATCCCGGGCATTAGCCTAACCAATCCTGGTATCACTGCTGCCGACATCACAGCACAAAGCCAAGAAAATAACTGATCTTCTAAGCCACAACACCTTTTTTTAATGTACTAATCGCTTTTCTTCCTAGAAAGTAATACTTAACTGCCACTCTCCAAAACAAAGGGAAAGGGGGAAATGTTGGTACCACAATAGGCTCTAGCATGTCAACTGTCACTGCTGACATGATTTGGCTAGTAGTCAAGCATTCGCCAAGGAACTAATTTAAATCAATCTCCTTTGGGAAAGCCAATTGTTTGGTATGCGCAACAATTGGTGCAGGATCAATCAGTGGACATGAGATCAATTAAAACCAGCTTAAGCCTGTGAAGAGGGACAATTCACACAACCTGAGTTAGATCTCTATTCATTTCAATACTCTCACAATGCAATCCTTAAGCTTCCTTGCAAAGCAGAAAAGCTACTATCACCCTACACTGTCTAGCCAGCACTTTAAGTAGTTCCACTTTTAATTAAAAACACAGTACGCCCTTTGTTGGTACAGATAGTGTGGTCACTTTTAAGGGTTGCAGTTATTTTAGCCAGAAGCTTGAGATTTGGGAAGGGACATCTGTTAAGGAAAACACACACATTTTGATAGAATTTTTTCTTTACAACCTTACCAGTTTACATGTACTTGAAAGCATTTGAATTTTATTAAATTGAAAGGTTTGTCTGGCAAAAGTTACTACTGCACACTTTAGAACTGGGTTTCTAAACGTCAGCACTTGGGGATGTGGTGGTAACTGCCATGAGATTTTGCTCAAGCAGCTTTGAAACAAATAGGTTTTGCATCAGATATAGGAGGAGGTATAGGCAGAACTTTGGAGATGGCACTGGAAAGGAAAGCATGCAGTATCGCTTCTGGCCGCAGGAGTGCTGTAATGTCATGTTCCACCAAAGAGCATCTCTGCATTAAGTTCTACTAAAGCAACATGTTCGATTCTTCCCAATTCAACCACAATGGGGCAGGCAATGTGGATCAGAAAGACATCGCTGAATTAGCAAGTCATCTAATAAACAAGAATTTGGCAAAGGAGTTTAGATAGTTTGTATTTTGAACATTTTAAAGCACTTTAGTCTTTTCAACCAAATAGGCTGCAGTGTCTACTTGGGGGCAGGGGGTGTGGGGTGTAGGGAAGCCTCTCCAAACACTTTGACCACTTAGACCAGTGTAATCAAAAATTGTCAGCTCTACCGAGCGATACCTGGAAAGAAGATACCGGAGTGGAGAAAGGAGGCAGAGGGGAGGTGAAGGAGATGGAAAGGGACTTTGGCAAGACTGATATCAGTATCAAACTTTCATGGCCTCTGGGAAGAAATTCCTCCCTAGTACATTTATTCAGAAAAACTTCTGAAAGTAAGCATTTTCCAAATGTCAGAAATGAAAGACAAGGAGAGTAAGAGAAATGAGGGCGAGAGAAAGGGGTATCCTTCTCATAAACCACAGCTCCATAGTGTCAACTGGAGAGCAGAGGCGGCGGAAATCGCACTCCACCAAGTTACCCTGAGTTCTGCCCTCTGGCCGGCCAACCTTCAGCCCTGCGGGTAGGTGAGAACAGCTTAAAGACGTCCCAAAAAGCTTTGAAAAATTAGGGCGCAGAAACCTCTCTCCAAAATCTGGATGCAGGACTGGAGATTCCACGAAACGAGTTGTAAATAAACCGCATCACAAGTCGAGCGAGACGTTCATATCCCAGAAAAATCAAAATCTGTTAACCTCAAGGCAAATTCTAACTGCGCAAAAGTCCAAACTGCACGACCAAGACGGATAAACTCTAAGGGGCTGCTGTGCACTTTCCGTGAGGCAGTACTGCAAGGTGGGGCTGTGCGTGCTGGGAGAGGGGGTGTTGAGGTTTGCGTTTAAATCCTTCAGGGGACTTAACAGTGTTTAGCAGCCCTTCCCCTAAAACGCAGTTGGACTAGCTGCAGCCGCAGCAGAACTCGGAGACAGAAATACAGGCGCACTAAATCATCAGGAAATCTAGCTTTCTGAAACCTTTCTGAAGGCTTCCACTCGCCTCCCCGCAGTGCACACAGGTGATGGAGAGGAAGGAGGAGGTCAAAAAGCCGCAAGTGAGTTTCACTGAGCGCCGGCACTTCTCTCAGAAGTAGCTGCTTTTGAGGGGAGTAAAGAGAGAGGGCAAAGTCGGGCCTGTCTCCAAAACATCACCCTGCAAGCAAGCGTTCCCCCCCAAAAAACCTGCGCACGAGTTGCCGCTCAATGCGCTAAGTTCAGTACGTCATCCCACCTAGTCTTAGAGACCAGAAAAAGAAATCAATGTTGCTCTTTTCCTAGAAATGCAGGTCCTCCACATCGACTTGGTAACCCTCCCCAGCTCTCGATCCCACACACGCGCGCAGACACAGACATACACACACACCCCAACACACACACACACGCCGAGTAGTAGGCCGTGTCCAAAGCTATCTGGGGTCAGGACTCAGGGCGCACGTGGGTGGTGAATGTAGAGAAAGATGAGCTGCAAGGAAGATGGTTGAGAGGGCTAAAAAGAGAAAAAGACAAAAAGAACAAGAAAAAAGGATGCCAGGCTTAAAAAAAGAGAGAGACCGAAAGAGAGAAGAGTTCAGAAGTAGAAGCTCGGCAGTCAACGTGGGTACGGACCGCACCGCTCAGCCCTGAACTCCCGCAGGACGCCCGGCTCGCCGCGCGTCTCGCTCCGGCTCGCCGCGCCTTCTGAGCACGGAAAAGACAGCGTTCGGCAGAGCTCTGGAGACCGGAAAGCGGGGAGCGGTGGCGCGCAATGGCGGGGGGTGGAGGGCACGGTCCTGCCCACCTGAGCCCCTGAGCGAGCGCCACCACCCGCGCCCCCGACCCCGACCCCACGCGCCTCCGGCAGGGTAGAACCCACCTCTCTTACTGCGTCTCCATCGATTGCCTTGGCAGTGGCTGTAATCCATACAGTTCAGGATGATGAGGGCAAAGGAGAAGAGACGAAACTGCATCTGGGCGGTCGGGCGGGGGAGAGACGCCTCTCAAAGTCGGGGAACTGGAGGGCTCATCCGAGGAGCCGGCGCCGTCCGCGCTGTTGAGGAAGACGCCGAGGGGGAGTCGCCACTAGCCCAGGGGCCTGCACTGGTCAGTTCGGCGCAACCAGCATCTTTCCGCCTTGAACCTGAGAGACGAGGAGGAGAAGCCGGGTGGAGAGAGGCCCAGGGAGGCAGCTGCCTCTTCACGCGTCCCAATTTAAGAAGGGGAGGGAGGGGGGAAGCGAACTCACTGCCTGGCAGGAGCTGCGGAGCAGCTTAACCCCAAGCGCACAGCTGCCTGCAACTTGGAGAGGAAGGTGATTACAATCAGTGAATTAGCAATCTCTGCAGACCTATAGGCTCCGACCCGGGGGAAAGGACTTTGCGCGGGCGCTCCGGAAAAGAAAAGAGCTCCACAGTTCCCGAGGGTGCAGGGTTAAAGGCGCGCTCTTCGGTCCTTTGGTCCTACAGTGGGATACCCAAGCGCCGTGGTCGCGGTGGCCAGGCGCGGGTCGCCTACCGTGAGCACTTACGTCTCAGGCTGTGCGGCGTGCCTAGGCGCGGAGCTCCATCCGGGGCTCGGAAAGCGAGACGCCTCGCTAGCACGTGGGCTGGGGAAAAGTTTGCCGAGACCCGCCGGGAGCGCGTAGCAGCTCTGGGATCCCGGCGGCTGCCTTGGGTTCGAAGTGCCCGGAGGGTCCTCTGGACTGACCGCGCCTAGCAGGAGCGCGGCGGGGCGGGCGGGTCCGCAGCCTCTGGGATGCTGCGTCCCCGCCGGTGTGTGCGATCCTACGGCAAGGGTTACGCCCGCTCTCACTCTCTGGGTCCCTGTCCAATTGTGCGGTTTCCAGAGCTCTCTCCACAGCCACTTCACAGCTAAGGTTTCTCCGTTTCCAAGCTGTGGGAGACAGAACGCTCCCGGGAGGCCGAAGGGATGGCGAGCTCACTTTCCGATGGAGATGCAGTCGGGCCGAGGCTCGGGATGCTTCTATAAGTAGGTGGTGCTGTGGTCCAAGGCAACTAAGTCAGGGCTGCCTCGGAGTTCCTGGGTCCTAAAGCCAGAACTCTCCGGCTTCCCTGAGGTCCTAAAGAGCGCTGACAGCCTCCAGCGGGCCTAACCCCAGGCGAATCCCCTCCCGGCTTTCCTGGAGTGGGTGGCTAAACTCAAGAGTAGCTGAGGTGGAGGTGCCCCCTGACTGTGCTGGCCTGACGGCCCAGCTGTCTTCACCCCCAAGGCGTCTTCTCCGCTGCTCCGGGGTCGACTCCAACCTCAGCGCCGACCTTCCAGCAGGAAGATCTGACTGACTGATGGCTTCTCCTAAACCTTCCTTTCCGAGCTCCCGGCCGGGACGGCTGCTTCTAAAGTGGCGTTTAAACTTGAGCCGCACCCCGAAAGATGCCACACCTCTGCCACTCTTAAGTTTTACGTCTTGGCTTTGTTTTACAGGAAGATGTTAGAAAGGCTGAAACTAAAACGCGTCTTCGGTTTAGGGAGTAAAAAGAGTATTCCAATACTTTGCTTATCCTTAGAGGTTGTACTTCTTGACTTTGTGTCTCCTCCAGAAAAACTTACAAAAAACTTTGATCCCTTTCTTGGAGTACGCTAGAAATTGGGGCCTCGGTTCTTCAAAGAAAAGTTCACTTTCTACTGAAGTATTTCTCATTCATAATCTTCCTCCCTCCCCCACCCTCAAAAGTCTCCTGAATTGAACTTTTAGGTGCCTTGAGTTTGGGGAATACTCTGTTTAACAAAGTGTTACACTAAATACACTTACGCTATCTGATTTCATTCTGGTGAAATCTTCTATCCTGAATTCATTACTGTAGGAATGAATGTATTTACCCCCTAGGCAAAAGATAAGAATTTATACTGCTAACCGTGGCAGTAGGAATGTTTGCAAATATGACCTCAGGTACCATATTATTATGCTAGCATTTTGTATCATTTAAATTTCTTTCTCTATGCCTTCAGTTTCAGAAGATGTTCGGAAGTTTGGAGACTTGAGACAATCATATAGAAACAACAAGAATATTAAAATAGTCATGTTTATTAATTGTTCCATTAATGTCTATCCATAATTATTTTAATGGAATCACTATTACATAGCAGTATTTATGTGCTAAGAATTTTAGTGTTATTCACTTTATGTATGTCTGAGAACACCCAAGTCAATCTGAGTTGAAGTCCCTGGTCCCATTTCCCACATAAGAAAATTCAGCCCCTGAGATTGGCCCATAGGGCACAAGTAGAGTTGACAAAGCACATAACAGCAACAGTGGATCTGTTTCTCAGCTTTCAGAGTCTTTGATTTTTGTCACAGAATTTGGAAGTGATAGGAAACATTTCAGTTTAGGGAGTGGCCCAGCATTTGACATGATATTCCAGTGAATATCCCCCAATCATCAGAAATACCATTTCTCCCATACACTCACACATGCGCACACCAAATTTATTGCACTTCTAAAGGAGTTAAATCCATGAAAGAACAAAGTCCTCTATAAATAAGCCATCTACCCTTCTGTACAGCCTTGGGACTCATTCAAGGTTAGTGGTCATCAGTGTCTTTTAAAATATATAAGGACAAAAATAAGCACAAGACCAAGTAGATCTAGCTCTACCATTAACCACCTGGGTCACTTTGGGCAAGTCTCTGGATCTGTTTCCTTGTTGGTATTTTTAGGAAATTAGAACAAGATCTCTTTCACCCCTACCATGTTCTGGTTTACAATCAATTTTCTATTTCTATCAAGAAGTTTGCTACAGAGTCTAACAGTGTCAGGACACGCTCATCGTTGATGAATTTTCAATATGGAAAGATGAGAGTTAGCCACTGTCATCCTTAAACTTACAGACCACTTTCAATCTCTGTCTTCAAAGGTTACTTTCCAAAATTTTAATCATTTGGGTTGCACTGATGGCATTTTTTAAACCAGAGATACTTTTCGGTTTAGTGAACTCCTAGATCCATTTCACAAAAAAAGAATTTTAACAGCACCACTTCTGCTGAAGATATGTTAATGCTCTTAACAAGACAAGAACAGGCACTAGAAGCAAAGAAGATTCCTAATTCCTTTCTCCTTGTGCTCTCTCCTGGTCTGTCTGTGCTTTTTAAAGGACACCATGGAACTTCAAAAAGATCTGTCACACTTAGTTCTTGGGGTACTTAGAATCTCACACTAAATTTCTTTGGGCTAGTTTGTTGATAAAGCAGAATTTTTTTTCCTTTTATTTTTTTGCCATTCACTGAATATTTCTCCTGATTTCAAGAACCCAGGAATGTTCTTGCTACTAAAAAACACATCCCTGGTGGATCCTAAACTATCATTAACTTTAACCCCATATTTCTGTGTCCTTTCATTTCTAAACTGTGAAAGCCTTGTTGTTGAGGCTCAGAGTTCACAGTTTCTCCATCTTGGAGACTCAATGGGCTTTTTCTTCAAACTGCGTTTAGACGGTGGTTTCATTAAACGTGCTTTATAAATAGGCATGTGTCTGGTGTCTGTTTACAGAGAAGTGTACTGACGAGGTTGACTTCATGCCATGCACTGGTGATAGAGAAGGTTAACTGAGTGCCGGTGGGGTGGGGGTGGGGGTGGGGGGGAGATGATGTTATAGATTAGAAGCAAGTTGCCTACTTTACTTTTTTGACTTGTAATTCATTCATACAGCTAAAATTCAATCGTTAATAAAGGGCATACAGGGAAAAGCCTCTCTACCAGCCAGCCAGTTCTCCTCCTCAGAAACAGCCAGTTATTCATGTACAACCTTCCAGGTTTTTAGTATACTTCCAGAGATATGTTGTGCTTATCAAGAAAATGCACGTGTATACACATATATATTCTTCACCCTTTTAGGCAACTAGTAGAATACTCTATTCACTAATTTGCACCTCGATTTTTTTCATGCATCTTAGAGTTCATTCGGTATCAGTTCATAGCAAATGTTCTTGTTGTTTTTATACAGTCACCTATCATTTCATTGTATGGTTGTATTTAGCCAGGTCCCTACTGATAGACATTCAGATTATCTACATTCTTCTTCTGTTATAAGCAATGCTTCAACTAACCTTTTCACGGGTCATTTTAAATTTTTATTATAAATTCCTAAAAGTAGAAAAGTTGGATCAAACAGTTAGACATACTTGTGTGTGTGTGTGTATGTGTATCCTTAAAATTGCCTTCCACAGAGATTCTATCCAATTACAATGTATGAAAGTGCCCATCTCCCTATATACCGGCCAATGCGTTTTGATCTTTGATACTCCTAAGCAAAAAGTGGTATCTCAATGGTTTTAATTTTTATTTCTTTTCTTTTAAATGAAATTATGCATCTTTAATATGCCCAAGCAATTTATGTTTTATATATATAATCTTTTGTTATTTGAGTTGCAAATATTTTTCCAGGTTTATCATTTGTCTCTTAACTTTACTTTTGATGTACATTACTATGCTAAAACTTTTAAAATAATTTTATGTAGTTAAATTTGTCAGTCTTATCTTTATAGTTTCTATGTTTGTGTTACACTTGTAAAAAGTTCTTCCCCATGCCATTCTTTTTAAGTTTTTATTTGGGATCTTTCTAAGATACTTTTTTTGATATTAAAAACCATAAGACGTTAGTGATTTTATGACAGTATGATGTGGCTGCAACAGAATAGAGTTTACATTTTCTAAATCTTTCCTGAGTATTTATGTTCACAGATTTGGTTGACTTTGGCTCTGACTCTCATCTTTATTAGCTAATTGATTTAGACTTCTCTTATCTTTTATGTTATCAGATTCATACCCTCAGATTTAGTTTCCCACAATCTTCTGATTCATTGTTGAAATTTGGTGGTGTCATACTTATTCTTCCAGTCTAGAATTTATCCGTTATTTACTTTGAAACAAATTATGGCATTTTTGTCATTGTATCAAAATTGATATTTTTTTCTGTTAAATATAAGCTGAATGTCCATTTTGCTAGCTGCATGTGATAACTTATGTTCACTTATTATATTTTGTATGAAATAATTAAATGAATTGATACGAAAGATCTTCAACCAGGTCACTGACCAGTCCTTATCCAGGCTAATTTGTTGTTTTTAAAAGCCACATCATAATCACTTATTTAACATTTGAAAAATGTGTAAATATTTGACTCCTCCAAATATTAATACTATGTCCTGCCACTTGAGAACTCTTTCTGTAGACTGATGTGATAAGGCCTATTTCTCATTTTGCTCTTCATCCCCATGGAAGAGATCCAGGAGGCTCTCTTCAAAGGAAGTCCAACTCAGACCAGCTCATAAGAAAAGAACTCAAGATTTGACCTGAAGCTTTAAAATTATTCTCTTTATTTAATCTTGTGCATTCTGAACTCTTTTGAACTAAAGTAGTGTCATTTCCATTCTTTTTTGTGTGAATGTGGTTGCTGGAAGGAAGTGTTACTACACTTGGTTAATAACAAGAGATAAAGATTCTCAGCTATTTTAAGAATGAGACACAGTTTTCACTAATAGAAGAGAATGTCTCTTTTCACTGTTTGTGGACACTCAATTAGTTATGCTAATTGAGATGAACAATAGGACAAGCATCCCTAAGAGCAGGAATAAACCCTCCCCAGAACTTTTTTCAGTATTGATATCCCAAGTAGATCCATCTCTCCTAAGCAATTGATTTGTCTTTAGCTTATGGTTATAATGAACTGCGTTATTATTCAAGAGCAAATTTGTGGTTTACCATCAGCAAGTATACAAAATGGTCAGGTACTTTATGTACTAGTCTCATTTCTTGCTCCATTTTTTTCTCACCTGTTTTTAATGTTGTATTTTGCAGTATTATTATGCATCTTCATAAGCTGCTTTAATTTTGGAATATAGAAAATTTTAAAATAATAATTTATACCTTATACACATGATAATACAAATATATATACGTCAAAGAATCAACATAGGGGTTCTAGTTGCTGATTACGTCTACTCCAAC